AAATATCTGATACGCGATAATGCGAACTTGCTGATCCTATTCAAACAGAATGATACCAACCTGAAACATGTTTACAACGATTACGTGAATACCGTACATGACGTATGATGAATTTTATGCCGCGATTGTTGGTAGCGCGAGTACGGATTCCTAATGATAGATAAGAACAGTCTGCTTATCAATGGGCGATACAAAAAGAATTTAACACGTTCGCGATACCATAACGCGATTAGTCAATACCAATACGTCAAGTAGGCAACATGGATAACATCAAAAATTGCAAGAAAATAGCGAAACAGATTGCGAAAATAGCGAAACAGATTGCGAAAACGAGCGATTCGATTCACAAAAAATATCGCGCTTTGAAAACTGGTAAAATAGCTGAAGATATAGCGTTGGAGAGACGCTTCAAGCCCATCGTCGAACCTCTAAAACAGATTGTTGAAAACATCGAGGAATCTCAGCCGATTAAAAAAGAAACCAATGTTGCAAAGGATATCGATATTAAGAAAAAGAAACGTGAAGACAGCGATGACGACGATGATAACACTACAACTGATAACACTAACAGGGATTCGTATTGGATGGATGTTGGATGGTTGAAATTAATACCGCCTAAAAAGCAACGTACAAAACAATTGAACGTCAGGTCAAATTCATTCACGTACGAATCTACATCGAAAGAACTATCAAAAGAAGATGCTGCCGCCGAAAGAATTATGTAAAGAACCATCGAAAATACCATCGTATGTGCGAAACGAAGACGTTTTTGAGACAAAAGACGTTAGTGAACCGTCACTGAAAACCATCAAACAGACTCTGCAAGCGCAAAGAGGATGCCGCGAGGTGCTTCATGGTCAGCTAGGATCGTTGGGACGAAAGTACGTGGGCTTTTTTCTCGGTGACGACATAGATAAAGTGATCGATAATGTGTATGGTGTCTATTTCGGCAAAAGTGGTACGATGCTCGATGACAAAAAATTTGACGTTGACAAAAATGACTCCATAATCATATACAATGTGAAATACAATAGTACACCAGGATTATACGAATTGAGACTTTCAAGAAACTTCTCGAGGCTATATTCACCGAAGATGACAAACAAACATATAAAAGCATACTGTTAACAACGAATGCTCATAGATGTGGTCACAGTGCCTAATCCCATCATGGGCAACAAGGGATACATTAACATCATCGCTCCGCTCGTATTTACATATAAGAAAAGCGGTAAAAGGGTGTAGATATTGATAATACCACCATCTGCCATGAGGTTAAACGATAAGATCGATTGCATTGGACGTGCATTGGAACGATTCCAACGAGCTGATGGATCAACTCCGAT